ATTATTTTAAGTGAATATCATCCAGTTCTTCAGGTTGGAAATTAAAAAAGAACACGCAGCAGTTTACAACTAGACTAGTCTATTTGTTCCCCAGTTTTTATTAAAATTGACCCTATCTAGTATGAAAATAATCCTTCTAAGCCCTCTTACAGAGGACTTACAGAGTTAGGCCAATATTCAATTTAGCAGAGCAGGGAACGACTTACACATCAACAAAAGCAATTCTACAACCAACAAGCACAGAGTCTGTGCATATAGATCCCACTGAGATGGGATTATGAATTAGACAAATTAAGTAAACTGATCCCCTTCAGACAAGGCAAATATTAAGATAACAGAAGCCATCTGTGCAATTGGAGAACTCAGTTTATCTGCAGCAACAGGTAGGAGAAGGCAGAGCGTGTATTTACAAGTCACATTTGGGCAGCACTGCAAGTTTACAAACACTAAGATGTTATCTACCCTAAAAAAATGTTGCCATCTAAAAAACAAACAAGATAGGGAGGCTGAGCACACAACAAGCAATACAAGCTGGAATGCCACTGGCAGCTGGGGAGCTGCCACAAGGACGGCTTTTGCTCTCCCGTCCCAAAGAACAGGCAGCTTTCTGCCGGCTCAGGGAGTTAAACTGGCTCGCAGGAGGGTCTGACAGCCCAAAAAAAAGGGGCAGGATCATATGATTTGGAATATAGTGGGGAAGGTTAAAAAAAAAAAAAATTTAAAAATCTCCATCTTGCCAGGATGGCAAGCTGTTAAGCAGTCTAACTGCACTTCACTGACCCCGCAGCTGTAAGCTGCCCCTCCGCAGCTGCCAGCGGCCGCCTAACCGTCCCCTGGTGCGTCCCTGCGCAGCTCTTGCCCCGGTTCTGGTGCTCTCAGACCCTGCACTGAGCCACCCGGACACGCCAGCGTAGCTGCTGTGCCACCATCACGCTTCACGGACGCAGCTTCAATCCTCCCATTTCTAATGCTGCTAGCGCTAGATAAATCGAAGGGCGGGGGACCGAACAGAAACATTATTCAAAACGGTCAATACTCCCCAGCCCAGATGCCAATGAATCATAAATTTACGAGAACACAGTATGGGCATCATTAGCAGGTAAAGCAGAGTCATGGGGGTTTTTTTAGGGTTGGGTTTTTTGGGTTTTTTTGCTTGGTTTTTGTTCGGGTTTTTTTTGTTTAAACCAGATATAAGAACGTCTAGGCCCAGTGTCACAACCACTCTGCTTAAAAAAAAAGTGCTGGTCACTGGAGGGGCAGGGGCTTATCTAGGACCTAACCAATTGCATCAAGGGGACATAAACATGGACAGGTGAACCACATATCCCTTCAGCCTTTGATGTTTAAGAGCTCTGCTACAACTAACCATGGGGGTTGTAGCAATTCCACTGTTTGGCCAGGGTCAGACCTGCACTAGACTCCAGCACTAAAACCTGCAGGGGACAGCAGCAGAGAGCAATAATTAAATGCTCGTCAGATGAAGTGGAAAATATTTCTTACCAGCATTTCTCTTCAAGTGTAGGGTGACATTCACTGTTACCCCCGATATTCATACTTCAAAATTTTTGGTCCAAATCCTTCCATTTTTGAAATTAAGTACCTGCCAGTTGCCTAATGTCTTTCTGTTCCCATCCTCCTCCCACCCTCCCGGATTAAGTTACAGCTAGCTACTCACCCAGCTGCTCTTTTATTGTAGACGCAGGCTTATCTCACAGCATAACCTACTACCAAATCAAGAATGCTGCTGCAGTTCAAAATGCATGTAATGCACTGATGACAAAGACAAACACCACCTCGCAGACTCTCTGCACTGTCCACTACCACAAAAAGACACTGCACAATTATTCAATATTGCAAAGCTACAGATAAAAGGCATTTAAGCGAAGAAAAGCAGATACCCAGCTCCCCTGTCTTGAAGGCCGGAAAAGAAAGAGAACTTGCATAGCTCACGTTAAGCCTCAGTTAAGTATTACTGCTGTGTGATCAAAGACCTCAGAAGATAGCACAAGCAGCACGGACACATGTTCTGCTCTATGTGCTAAAGCAGCAAAACCGACTGGCCCCTACGTGCGACTTCTGAAGTGCCATTCTCTTTCTTCACCAACTACTATACACCATTGCTTTTAATTACTTTCCAGTTCAACATCTGCTGAGAAGGGGAGTTTGACAGAAAACTAGTGAAGATTTCATTACGCTTACGTGGCTTGTAGTAAGGATGACTTCCTTCGTCACAGCTAACAACCTGGAAAAAGTGCTAAAAAAAGGGGGAGAACAGATACCCCTTTTAGAAGGCTACTTTCAACCACAACCTGTTCGCTACCAACAGCCCAAATCTTTTCCATTTTAGAGCGGAGCAAAAGGATTTCTGTGGCTGTTCTTTTCAATCTCACACTTGAGAAAGTATTGCACTTCCACTCGCACAGAAATTTAGGGGGGTACAAGGCTGGTTGCAATGGGAGAGGGTTGGATTTTGAAGATGGAAACAGCCACAAGGCAGATGAAAGTTGTGGGGTTTTTTTAAACTATTCTTAATTTTCCCAGATTAGGATATCTCTTCATCACCAAATATTATCTATCCTGCTGTCAAAATGCAGATAAGAGATTTAACTGTTTGACAGTGCCCTTTAAAAAACCAAAAAGCTCTGATGTCTTCAGAGGCACATATTCCTTAAATCACTAAAATTATGATGATGTCGCTTACTAAGAAACAAGAAAACAAGAAGATAAAAAGATACACTAAATGCCTAAACACTCTTTTCCTCATCTTTCTCCTCCAAGTTTTTCACTATCAACTCAAAGTATGAGATTATTGACGCTTCCTGCAGGTAAGGCTCAGAAGACACAAGATCAAGAAATACAAATCAAATTCGCTCTTCTCCTCATTTATTTCAGACTTAAATTTTTTCTTAGTACACTGACTTTCTCCAGGAGTTTCCTTCACATTCCAGGAGCAGGAGGAGGGAGGAAACCATCAGTGCCTTGTTAAGGTATCTAAACAACAGATAGGGCATGCTGCACAAAATCGAAACCCGTAGTTGAAGAACAGTGTCTTGAAAGCCAATACGCATATCCTGTGGGAATCTCAGTTTAATAGTTCCTTAAATCGGCCAGCTAGATGTATGTTGAAATATCTTAGAAAATACAGAGAAAATTCAATAAAGAAAAGAAACTGTGGGACTGAGGGAGAAAAACCCCAAGAGAAACAAGAAACAGCGTCTTAGCTTAAAGAGAAGGGTGAAATGTCACCTTTCCTGGAAAAACATGCACACTGCAGCGTGTGGAAATGCCCAGTGACAAAAGGATGCCATCTCCAAAACTTTCTGCATCACTGTTACAAGAAGAAGTGGGGGAGGAGGAAGGTGAGTCATCATTGGAAGGCAAACCTCACATTCTCCAAAAAACAACCCAAATTCACTTCTCTCCAGAAATGGCTAAATAAACTACAAGTTGGTAAAAATCAGCATACTTAGGAATGCCTTCAGGCATTTAAGCTAACATGCCCTAATGCCACGTTAAGTACAAAACAAGTGCTGTACTTACTCTTAACGGGCTTTCAAAGAGCCTGTACGCTCTGTATCTGAAAATGAACGTCTTGCTCAAGTGAGGTGTTAAAAAATAATATTCACAGAACATTCACACCCCCATCATTCCACTGGCACGCTTCATATGGAGGCACATCAGCTGTTTTTCAGCAGCTTTAGACGGATTTTTAATGTTATATTTTCTCCTTTGTAAATCATTTTCATCTACTCTTAGTCAATAGTCTCAGTATAGGTAATATAACCTAGAGAAAGAGAGATTTTCCTATCAAGTACTGTCAAATTAAAATGCAACTCAGCATTACGATCTTCCAGAGAAGGAAGGAAGGAAGGGAGGGAGAGGAGAGAAGCTAAGCTGCAAGCACCATGAATTCCCTGAGGCCCTTCACCTGAGGGAGGGCACCTTCTTATGAATCCCACCATGCAATAGCCCTGGTTTGCTGTTTTCTCCAAAACAGTAATTTTTGGGTTCTAGGGGTTTTTTGGGTTTTTTTTTTAACCTGGCTTATAAACTACGTAACAGAGATAGGACAGACTGAACGTGGAGAAAATAAACTAGTCTGAACTTGACAGGAACGCAAAAAGGCAGGCTCTCCAAAACAACAGATCTATATCAAGCTGACCTGCCGTACATTAATATCCTTTACAAGACATGATTTTCTTATCTCGGTTCTTCCACAAGCCTCTGAAGGGACTGACTATAAAGGAAAAGGGAACTAGTCAAGGAGAAGCAGCGTTTACATCCAACTTTCAGGAACCTAACACAGCCCACTACAGCAACTTGCTGTTCTTTCAAGTCACCCTAAAAATAGGTAAATTCTCTCTTTTCAAAGAAAACCAATGGCCATCTCCCCCAAATCTGACACCTCCTTACTGTGCTGTGAGATTAAAATAACTCTCACTGGGTTTCTATAAAGTTAGAACTGAAGGGCCCATTATCTGACAACTCCTGCTCAGTCCTTTGACCTGTCCGAAGCACTTATCAACTTCTGCAGCCCTTGATTACGTTGCCCAGATACTTTAAACGTTAAACACAGTCCTGTGCTTTATGACAAGAGCCAAAAGGTGGCCAGGAGTGGAAACAGGGCAGCAGACAATGACAAACAACTAAACCCACAATATTATGGGGTCTGAGATCACTGGATCCCAAAATAAACATGCTACAAGTATTGTAACACTTGTCACAAGACATATTTCTAACTGTTCTTTTACAACCACCATTTTACTGTTTGATGATACAACAGGTGGAGGGCTTAGCTGTTCCTCCTACTAAGATGTATTCCAGCCTGACAGGTTTTTATTTTGCTAAAGCACACACACATACACACACACACAAGCTTCACAGTCATAATGGAGAACTCTCAAGTTCAGAATCATTCCAGCAGCCTCAAAAACTTATTTATTTTCCTCCTCCCCCCAAAATACACAGATTTTTTTTTTTTCTATAGGGCTTTCACTTACCTCTCCCATAGCCCGTCCTTCCAGAGCAAGCGCTTGAAAATCATGATTCAGTTCATCCATGGAACGCACCTATTTATAGATGGGTAAGAAAAATACATGAGGAAATGCTTGTATTTGTTTTTCTTAATAATAATCATAGTTTATAGCAATTTTTCTGATACAGACTGAGAGCTCCATTCCATATTGCAGCATATAACAAGGCTATTGAGCTCCAAAAGATGACTTACCTTTAAGACTCCCAGAAGCCACAACATTTATAGTGTTAGATTTATGCACACACAAAAAAGGAAAAACTAGCAATTACTTTTAAGACGCACAAAGTCTAACGCAACTGCCTTTGCTAAGTGTATTGCAGAGACTAATATTTCACAGTGAGCTGCATGATTTCAAGTGAGGGAATCAATGCCTAAGCAAGCGAGTCAGCATCATTTCCTTTCAGGTGAAAATCAAGTAAAGACTCTCGTATAAAACAGGCAGATTTATATTCAAGTTACCTTGATATGAAAAAGAAAAAAACAACGGTAGAAACAAAAAGCAAATTCAATTAAATAGCACCATTTGAAATCGGGGGCAGGGGATGAAAAAAGGAGAGCAAGCAATGCCTTAAGATCAGTTGCCAATTTTAGTTACTGTACCCACAACAATGTCTCAAAGTGGAAATCCAGAAGCACAAAGTGGGGCGCAAAACACCTTAAGAAAACCCCTGACGGGGTATGGCCTTTTCCTCATTCCCAAGAGGCTGCCGGTGTGTGGCAACCGCACAGCTCCATGGCTATGCTGGGGGCCCCAAGACTTGCCAGCTAAGGCAAGGCACGCAAGGGAAAGGCAATAGTGAAGCAGTCCTTCCAGATGCATACAGGGAAGAGCTCAGGAGCTGCGGGAGCAAGGGGACAGCCCCAGGAGGTGACACTGGGACGGCCCCAGCAGGTGACACTGGCCTTGCTCACCTGGAGGACCTGTAGCTATACATTTACTTGGGGAGTTGTGCCATTTTCTGCTTCTACTTCGGATCACGATTTGATGAAAATTGATTCAGTTAGAACATAAAAAAGCAGCAATTTAAAACTGTTAGCTAAGTCAGATATGTTGAAAATGCAAGAAAACACTTTTGACTTTCATTCCCAAATCTCATCCAAGTCCTTACAGATGCAACCATTGAGCACACGAGCAGAGGCAAAGGAAAAAAACCCAACTATGGACTTGAGGACAAAACACAGAAGTTCAACCACATACTAGGATTCAGACCAAATTATTGCCCTCCTCAGATAACACACCTGTACCAAAGCAGGGCTTATTATAACAGCCACAAACACTTACGATGGCACATAAGCAATATTACATGCTTCCTACTCGATGTCTACATAATCCCTGCAACCCAGGGATACACCTTTCTGCTAGAGCAGGGCTAATAGTTTCTAAAACATTTATTCACTGCAGTCCTTTATGGGCTCTTTTTAATACGCAGTGTTTAGTTGTGTCACCACTGAAGACGTAGCAGGTGATTTGGACGCAGCCTCCTCTAGGCCAAGGGAAGGAACCCAGTAATACCTGGTGGGTGATTTATAGGACAAAAAACCCAAAAACTGGTTTAGATGCTAATGCACCACCCTGCCAGTGACCAGTGCTGTAAGCAGTTACACCATGTTCACTGACCTTAACCCTGACTTCTGATACTCATACCACTATTTCCAGCAGAACCAAGTCAAGACTTTGTTGTGATTACTCTTTATTTCTATTTTAAGACAAGATTCAATAGACCTCATCCATGGAAAGCACCACAGACAACCTCCAGAAGTCCCCTCCAGTCTGAATCCTTCTACTATTCTGTGACAATACTACTTTGCAAAAGATTAGTAACATATTGTTAAATTATCTAATACATATTTATGTAATTCGCAAATCCTCAATAGCCAGTCACTCAGAATCACAGTTTAAAAATAAGGTATCCTCTTATTACTATATCTCAGTTCAAAGTTATTTTCACTTATGCCTCAGTCTTGCCACCTTCTGCGGTGACGCTTATCACATCAACCACGAACACACAGAGTGAAAACAGGACTCCACCTTCCAGAAACTACAGCACCAGGCAACACCAAAGACTTCCCTTTACTGTCCACTCCGTCACTGATCTGCCAGCGAAGATATCTCGGTTGCCTCATGTGAGACAGAAGTTAGTAAGACCAAATTCTTTTGTGAAGCATTTCAAGCTGAACTCATGGACAACGCTGCAACCCCCAGACATGCTAAGCCACAAAAGCTGAACAGTAGCAAATTATTACTTCAATGAGACATCTGAGGAATAAAGAAGCTACACAAAGAATTCAGTAGGTAATGTTGCTAAAGCAATGTCCCAGCAAACCACAGACGCAGCCACAATGGCACTGATCCAGGACCTGCAGTGCTGTGGAAAGTGCTAGTGGAGAAACAGAGGCTGCTTAGTGCACGTCCCCCAACTTTGCCAAAACAAATAAACTCCCAAAGGTGGATGTTGTGCTATGGGAACCTCAAAACAAAGCTGCTAGAAAGATATAATCATTACATTCCTAGCATAAATCAAAAGGATGTTAAGAGACATTTGTATTTTGTTTTGGTCATATCCCAGCCCTATCAACTCCCCGCTGCCAAGCTGAGCTCCCCTCACAGCTTCAGCTGCGCTAACAACCCTGGTGAAAGGCCCATGCAGAACACACAGGCAGTTTCTAAAGAAGAATGAGCTCTACTTCTCCTCTCAGCCCCTTCTCTCACCCTTCTTTATGGTACTTTGGCGTGTTACATGGCTATCCTTGCTCCACCAAACGTTTTTAAAAATGCTACAATCATATATTTTATTTGTTCACATTAGATGCAAGAACATTTTCACAGATGTCTTGTTCAAGTGTTTGTCTTGAGTAGAAAAACGTGTTATCATCTTGTTAAACTAATTACAGCAGCACAAATACGTGATTTACATCCACATATGAAGCCATGCTCCCATGCTGGCCTGAATTCTTGGTGGAGAAGCTAGAGCTGGTGTAACTAAAAATGGAATAATCTCCAATACGGTCAACACCTTCAATGCCAGTCCACAACCCCCCACCAGAAGCCATGACAATTTAGCAATTCCTCTTTCTCCAAGAGCTACAGTCCAGTAAGCATACATAGCTCTCCTCAGTGTTGAACCATTGTCTGTTTCCAATGTGGAGAAGTATGTTTGTCTTCAAACGATGCCATTGATTACTACAGAGGTGATAGAGAGACCAAGATAAGAAGAGTGGTAAAGGGCAAAAAGCAGGATAAACATGAAAGCCAAGTGCACTCCAGCTTTTTCATACCTGGTTGGTTTAACTGCACACCTAACAGAGCGCTGTTATTTTCACTCCTCTCTTAAGGGTCTGAACGAAGCCGTCCTTCAAACATGTCTTAGTTTGCAAATCGCCATCCTAGCATCCCCTGCTAAATGATACACAGTGCAAATGGGCTGCCTCCATCTCCTTCCCAAATACACTTCACCCCAGTGATGATCAAAAGCAAAAAAAAAAAATACTGGCTTCTCTAACTACTATCAGAGGTCAGGTAATGGAAGAAATGATTCATGACAGATTTAAGTCATACCCCTACTCATCTCTCTCTCATCAATCCCCACTATTCTGGATAAAAACATTTTCTAAATCAGGTCTTCGTGCCTGACTTTCGGGCACTGTATGCTCAAACTGTATATAATCACCAATTTTGAGGCCCTTTCTCTCAGTCATGCAGTTCCTTTATCTTCACTGATCATTGTATCTATTTGTTTGTAATACAGGCTAGTTTATTATTCAATTGTCGAAGACTGTACCCAAAAGGTCCTCTTCTCATTTCCCCACTTCTATAATATTAAATAGCAACACCTCTTCACCTCATTTTTTTACACGGTATGCACAAATATCACAGGGCTCCTTCATTTCCCTTTGAAAGAACAACAAATAGCTTCTGAAACAGCAGAACTTAAAGCCAAAGTCATGACTTCCTACACCTTAGTATTCCAAAAGGCAGGCAATACTCTGAAATGGCAATTAAACGATATAGATGATCTACCACCTCATCAGGATCTATCCCTGTTAACTATCACTGACCTATAATGAACAGAGAGATGTACAGCAGAGTCAGGATGGTGTAAACACTAGAAACAAGGAGGTCCACAGAGAAAGAACTTCTTCAAGATGAGTGCTAACGTCACTGAGATTTGATTACCATAAAATTTGGTTCACCACTGAACCAGAGTTTTAAAAGAAATCCAGAAGACAAAGCCAAGATAAATTGGCTGCACAAGGACAATGCCCTGACATCTGGATACGACATGACAAGCTGGTTCCTTGGAGAAAGAGGTGATCTCGAGAAACATCAGGAATTGCACGAAGAGAGGCCAGTGCAGTCTCAATTGCTTCAAAAGTGATCCAGCAAAACCTGACTCCTGCTCTCAGACAGCAGCACCCCTCGGTCGCACCCCCACTTCAGCCTCTTCCAGGCACGCCGCCTCTGCAAAGCAAAATGCAAAGTGCACATCCTCACCAACTACCAAGAACAGATCTCCCTACCTTCTTGTCAAGAGTACTCATTCTTTCTCACAATGCAGAAAACCAGCAAGCTTGCTTTGAAGCCTGCTTAACAAAATTAAGGGTCTGTACATCTGCAGCACTGCTACTGAACGAGAGTTACAAAGCAATTTCATTGCACAAGAACATTCCTCCCCTTCTCATTAAATGCTGTGTATGCACTCAGGAATTATGTAAATCTCACCAAAATTAACGAGAATTTCATTCAAGAAGAGTAATTTCCACGCACACTAATATATGAATGTATGTCACTATAACACACTCCAGCTTATAGCCACTTCACTGACTCATAAATAGGTTCCTGCCTTCACGGTGGAAGCGCGTACCCAAAGCTGATTCGCCCAGTGAACTAACTACGAGCCACACCGAGAAACTGGAGTAAACCCACTGGATTGCTTCGCTTCTCCAAGGCTGAAGTCAATTCAGTCTCTCAAAAGCACTCAACCAATTTTCACCTTTGCTCTAAAAAACTTGCGATAAAGCAAGAGACAGCTGTAT